GTGTATGTGTGTGTGTGTGTGTGTGTGTGTGTGTTTGTGTGTGTGTGTGTAGTTTCACAAAAGTGAAAATTCATTGAGTGACTTTAACTTGGCGCTCTTTGCAAAAGAACGTGCCAGGAGGAGAAGGGAGCTGGATGGGATTTGTCATCTATTTTCAGAGCGGATGAAAAGCAGACCTATTTGGAGCCTCCTCCGCAACGCTTGTCGACGCCTGACCGGCTTGCGCTGACTCAGAGGTGCGAGCGTTCATCTCACTGTGCTTGTCGTCCTGCAGATGTGTGTTCTCAGCGTCGGTACACTCCATTCTCTGGCCGAGAGCATCAGGTGGTTGCTCTCTTGCTGTTTCCGGGTGATACAAAGTCACTTACACTTGTTGCTCTTGGTCATCAGATCGTGTGCACCCCCCCCCCCAAAAAAAAAAATGATGGCAATCGCGTATTTACTCTTTGTAAGTGTAGCAATATAGGGTCCTCCAGTCCTCGCTTACCTCCGACTTCCTCTTCCCCTCCAAAGGGGGGAGCCAAAGATTGACCAGTGGAGCCAAACACCCTGTCAGTCCTGCTGTGGCGGTCCCAGACACGGTGCCCTCTGTAGGTAAAGTACTGGATCCTGTGTCTGGGCAGGGCCAGCTCCGTGGCGTAGTCGCAGTCACATGGGTTGGTGTCCCAGTTAAAATCACAGAAGGGGCGCTCCAGCACGCCCAGGTAACGGTCCACATAGCCCACAACGAATTGGGACGCGTCCGCCGAGGGGTCCCAGAGGATCCGAGAGATCACGTCGTCGGCTGTCCGCATGCGAGGCTTTTTATTGACGTCTGAGGGGAGAACAGGGTTACCGAGATGGTATTGAGGTTTGAGAGAATCTCAACACGGTGCAAAGCTTGAAGGAAACATCCAATCAAAGTGACCTTTTGCCTCATTTTCTTTCGCTTTTGCCGTTTTGTTTCTGTTGGCTTTCTTCTTCTTTTGTACTTCTTCATCAGATTTGTCCTCCTGCTCAGGAATTATTGCGTCTGCGCTAGCTACTGCTGGGTCACTACAAAGGACACAAACAAAATCAAGATCAATGTCTAAACACGCAGATCAGTGCAAAATCTTGCATTCGGTTATTTTGAAGACATCGAACACAATCATTTATCTGCTCCAAGCTCTGTGTGTCTTTTCTCTCTGTCACAACCTTGTGAAAATAAAACTATGCCACCACTGGACTCACCAATAGGTACGCCTGACGATATCCTTGAAAGTACCTCCAAACTAAATATACCCTCTAAATTTGATCCGTCACAGAGAGGTTGTGAACAAGGCAGTCAAATTTGAATTATTTAAAAAGAAACAATTCACCGGGTATATAAATTGATGTTCTTACTCATGCCTTTGGCTCTGCTTCGAATAGGTGAAACCACAGCCCGTGTCAATAGATCAATTCAACGGCTTGAATTGACAGTACGTCATCAGGTTCTCAGAAGACTTTCCACCCGGCTAGCTTGCGAGCTAACGGGCTTCTGGGGTTCCTCTTGGCCAGCAGACGAGCGCTGATCTTGTCCGTGGCTTCTCCTTCTCGCTTGGGAATTTCAAACGCCTCGTTTTGAAAATGGTGGCATCCAGGGAAGATGCATTTTCAAGGTATACCCGGAGTTAACCGACTAACTGCTCGCTAAGGTGGACCGAATCAGACAAGCAACATCTCCAAACTCCTAAATTGGTGAATTTTGCTTTCAAGGTACTGCTCTCCTGTAATAGTTTGCAAATTTCTTTGCATGGCGCTTAAAGACTCGCATCAGAAGCTCGGCGATCAAAGGAGACTTAACAAGGCGGCGTAATTGAAGTTGCCCTGAAAGTTGGAAAGGAAACCAAATTACAATCGGAAATCTTACACTGAGGTGCTGGTTACTTCGCAGATCAGCCGGGTTGAACTGTGAGCCATACGACATCTGGCACCAAAGTGACACTTTCCCTCCAGGAAGAACGGGCACACGTCGACTCCTTTCTCATCTGTCAGAGCTGTACGAGGAGAGACGGCGCAGAGGTCAACAGACGTGTCGCTATGTCTACTGTATATTGATTCTCTCAACAATTACAAGTACCACCATCGTGACCACCATCAAAATACAGTACCATAGTGGACATAGGCAGAGGTTTTATTCCTAAAATGCACCTTCATCGTTATTGTAAGCCATTGCAGCGTTATGTATAATTGAAACATTAACACTTTACTTAAATACAAAAAAAATAATAAAAATGGAGTAAAGTCATGATTACATTGAAATATGTATGTTGAAAAATGTTGAGTAAAAATCATATGGAAAAAAAACAAAACAAAACACATCTTTCCTGAAGCTTTGGCTCTCTGGTTTTCATGTTGGTTAGGCAAAATCCCACTCAAATGGCTGGGTTCAAAAAGAAGGTGCTAAGTTTTATATCATATCCAGATTTAAATATAAACCAAACAAAGAAAGGAATTGGGCTGACTATTGCTGTACTATTGCAGGGGACTGGTACAATGCCTGGTGAAAGATGTGGTCTTTGACTGACGTCACTATCAGCCAAGTGACACGACTGACTGGAAACAATTACAATACATAGAGCATAAATCCTGGAAAACAACTTCCAGAGAAAAAGTGAACATGACCCTCGACCTGAAAAACATTTTTGAAGGGTGAAAAGTTTACCGAACTTCTCAGTCAATGATACATTGTCAAGTTATTCTGCCTAAAATGAGGAGACGTCTTGGGTGGGTTTTTTTTTTTTGTTGTTTTTTGTTTTAAATTAAGCCTAGTCAGACAAGCACAGACTGATACAGAGTGACACTCATGTTATCTCAACACACGAGACTCCTGATTCACTTCCAAATTCCAGACAGCAGTCCCAACAACGCACACGGAACAAGGTTGCTGTGATCCATGCCTGTTTTCCTGAGGTATTGCCATCACAAAAAAATGACATGTTCAATTGTCATAACAGTAAAGTAGTTTAGTATGAAAATATGTTTTCGAGACTTCAATACATGCCATCATATATGAAGCCATAAACAACACCAGTATCCAAAAAAAGTACAAACATTTTGTGACTGTACCTCAGTAGAATTTGCATGTCTCCCAGTGGTACTTAAGTATTCATTTTTCTGATGATTTTTTTTCACTTTATTTCCTTCATGTTGTTTTGCTTTTTTTTCTTCTCAAAAAAGGTCAACTATTTTGTGTTGTGAAGTCTACCAAAACAGGTACGTATGGAGTGGAAATCCATTTTCAAGTTTGTACTTTTTTACTTCAGTGAATAGTTCACTCAGCACTTCTACTTTCATCACAGCATTTTTTCCACAAATATCTGTATTTCTACTTAGCGTGTGAGTACTTTTCCCCACCTCTGAAGAATGTCCCTGAATGAAACGTATTATTACTTTACCTGTTTTGACATTGTCTGTGTCTGCTGGATCTTCTGCTCTGCTTGTGTCTCTTTGTACAGCAACATTCTTTGTGCGTGAGGAAGCTCCTGTACATTCTGACGCCATGCTGTCCATTTAAAAGATAAGACTTAGTTAAAATGCCAACTCACTGTCCTTAACTTGTTTTGTTTGACAGCCGCCCACGCGGAAACTGACACACCTCACGCTAAATACAACTCAGCGGCTAACGCGGAAGTGGCATGAAACAAAACGGGCCTATACTCGAATTAATAAGTCTTAAAATACACAATAATATCGTCGAGACAGCGTTGAAAGTTTTAAAGACAAACATAAAATAATGTTTCGCTCCATTACTAACCTTTTCGAAGCAGTTTCGCCTAAACTCAACCTTGACCCCAAGATGGTCATACCGTGGGGGATTCTGGGTAATGTAGTAATCATTTATTTCGGTCGAAAAGCAACGTTGTAAACGTGGTGTAAAACAGAATTTTCAATCAAACAACAACGAGAGTAGAAGGCAGTACGAAATTATAATATTTTACTCGCACTTGTAACAATTGAAGAAAAAAATGGGAAAAACGCAAACACGTGTTTTCGAGTTCGAGCGCGTGACTCTGTGTCACTCATATGACGTCATGCTAGCGCTACAAAACAGCACGGAGGTAAACACAATAGAAGCTCGTGCGGCTGCAAGCAATAAGCCCATATTTTTGGGTTGGACCCAGGCAAAATGTTAATTTTTGTGCGACCTATTTGGGCGAAACAGCGAATAATGGATGTACTTTTATAAAGCTGTCTCAAGTGAACTTCCCTCTATCGACGGTAAGGCAAGCTGTCAATATTGTGGTAACAACCCTGTCATGCACCCATGCTAATTTAAATTTTCAATTGAATTGTACTGAAACAGTGATGTTTCCTCTCCGTTTAGATGAACGCGCTAGTGGCTCTCTGTCATTTTTGTGAACTCCATGGACCGCGTACACTGTTCTGCACCGAGGCTTTGCACCCTCCGTCGCCGTCACCTTCCTCCCTGGCAGGCGTTGAAGTGCCCGGGGACAGAGATGTTGACCGGGACGGTGAAGGACTCACCATGAGGGCCAACAGTTCGGCCACACAAAGGGGAGAAATGTGTGAGGTGAGCTCAGTCAGGGGCGGGGGTTTAGCTCACCCTGCCTGATGGATATTAAAAAAGATTTGAGATCCATTTGAGATGTAAACATAACCCGAGTGACATTAAGAGGTTGCACTGACAAGCTTAAATAGTATTAATTTATAAGCAGTTTATACATCAAAAAGAAGTCACTTGCATTGCAGAGGTCGTGTCATGTTATCAGAGGGTTATTAGTTAGGGTTTACCATGACTGCGTTTCAGCAAAACGTGATAGCTCCTGTGACTGTGTTACTTCCGCAACGCTGACACCACCGCCTCTCTGTGATTGTAGCTACTCTGTCATGTGTCTCACAGTGTTCCTCTTCCCCGTTGCTTCACAGGGGTGTCGCTCCCTCCCTGCATCCCACCCAGGCTTCATGAGCATCGACGACGAGACGGGCATTCGCTTTGTGAGCCACCAGCATCCCAGAGAGCCGCAGCTCTTCAGCATCGTGCGCCAGGCTTGCGTACGCAGCCTCAGCTGTGAGGTAACTGGTGACGTATGTCTACTTGTATACGTGTGTGTGTGAGTCACACATCTCATGCACCCCTACGTCGAACGTTCACCTCTGTTTGTCCTCAAGCGTCCTCGTGCATTTTGTTTCCAAGGTGTGCCCCGGGCGCGAAGGGCCAATTTTCTTCGGGGACGAGCAACACGGTTTTGTGTTCTCACACACGTTCTTCATCAAGGATAGCCTCGCTAGAGGCTTCCAGCGCTGGTACAGCATCCTCATGGTGGCCATGGACCGCATTTACCTCATTAACTCCTGGCCTTTTCTGTTACGCCACCTCCGACTGACCATACAGAGTCTGCAAAGCACCGCCCTGAAGGTAACCCTGTCCTTGCTCTCTCCAGACTGTCATCACACACCGTGTTTTCACAAATGCTCATTGGGGGCATTCGTTTATTGGCTCCAAAAGTATCTCAGGGCGAACAACTTTCTCCGGAATCACATTGAATCTACTGATTCATATAATTTTCCACTGATCAGTTATCGGCCGCGAAAGTTGTCATCCCAAGGACGATCGAATGACCTCATTGTTATTTGTGCTACTCCGTTAGGTGTTTGACAACGAGCAAGGCGTTTGCCCCCAGCGAGCGGTGAGGATGAACAGCGTGTTCTCTCCCGCGGTGTTCCCGCACCAGAGGAGCGGCAACGCAGCCCGCTCCCTCACGTCTCTCACGCAGCATCCCAATCTGTGGGCCAGCCTGCACTCCTCCTTCAGTTGGTCCGTCAGCCACGCACATCACCAACACAAGCACGGAACGACAGTTCCGCTCGAAATTGCAATAGTTGTTCGACGCATTTGCCTGGATTTATTGACAACGCATTTCTCTTGGCTTCACCTCTTGCGGTGAATGGATTTGGATGTTTGTCCAATCAGATTTCCGCCTCGACGTGCCATGTTCATGTTATCGGCCTTCAGAAAATTGAACCCTGGCTGATGTCATTCAATCTCTGTGAGCGATGGGATTGTTTTCTTTTACCAGTCCAATTTTCAATTTGTCTTCAAAGGGCCACAGTGCTGGCCTTTACTGATGTGAGCTTTTCTTTTTTTGTTTATTTCTTTTTTTTTTCTTTTGTTTTGTTTTAGTCAATGAGGAATTATGTCCAAAAAAGGAACATTAACGTTCACAGATAACAGGACTCATACAAAAGGAGTTCCTCCTGAATATCCCATTTCAGTAAAGAGTTACTAAAATCAGCTCTTGTCAAGAGATGACCGTGCACGCTTCCACAAAGTCCGTATTCAGTGACCCGCAATTGCGCTCGTGTTTTCGCAAACAGCCAAACGAAGCATTTTTAGAATGAGGTGTCACGTCACCATGATTGTCATTTCGCGGCTGAGCTGTGAATCATCTTAAAACTTGTGGTTATTCTTCTTCGCAGGCTGCTGAAGGCCTGCGGTAGTCGTCTGACGGAAAAACTGCTGGAAGGGGCCCCCACCGAAGACACGCTTGTGCTCATCGAGAGACAGACAGGTGCTAAACGTCCAGGAATCAATATGTTTTGCCATCAATCGTGATTCCGAGTCTTTTTCGGAAATACGGTCGATGAGCATGCCTGCTTGAGCATTCGTTCGGTATCCTTCAGATGTAGTTTGAGGTGCATCTACTCAGAAGACCAATTTGCGCACTAGTCGGGAAAAAAAACCAAAAAACGACATTGTCGGTTGGCGTAAATTTTACCTGGGTGAGTTTCAATAAAGCATCAAATACGTTGACCCAACCAGACCAACAGAATTGCTTCATGGTTGAAGAAAGCATGAAGTGACTTGTTTGCAGCTGTTGAAGCATCGCCCAAGGGAGCATTTGGCATTAGCCAAAGTAAGAACACAACCACCAGGCACCACATTGACTCGCAATGTTCACACTGTTGTTTTTTTTTTGTTTGTTTTGTTTTTTTCCGTCTGTCAAAGGATCCCCTCCTCCGCTCGAAGGAACCTTGTTTAGTTGCACGGGGAGCAAAAGCAGGCGAGACACGCAATGCTACCCGATATTTCATGTCCGGTCTGAACCGAGCGTAATTGCACCAAATCTAAGCTAACTGTCGCCGCCGCGTCGCTTAGGAACAAAATGTACGGCGCGGGATTCCCCTCTGTTGCTGAGCGACGTGTGACAAGCATTACGTCCCTATCCACGTATTTGTTATTGACATGTTGACACCTGTGTTACACTTACAAATGTTCAGACTGTATTATGCATCGTAGTTGGCTGTCATTTTATTGGAAGTGGTGACAACGAACTCCCGTTCCAACGTACAGATTCGTTATGCCCCTGAAGGTACGTTGTAACGAGATTCGACTGTAGTGGGATTGTGAAGAAATGCTCACACGGCTTGCCATAACAAGTGTGAGTCACTCAGCCTTTCTGAGCTTTTTCTGGAGAATATCACCTCTGTCATGATAACACGTCCTCAGTTTGCATTTGATCTGCTTCCTCCAAGAACAAGAGGAGGAACTGAGCTGCTGGGAAGGAGCCGAAGGGGGCATTTCCAAGCCCCAGGGGCACCAATTAGACAGTGAAGTGGATCACGACGATGAGTCGCCCGGTCCCAAGTTTCGGTCACTCAGGCACTTGAGGCAGGTAAAGATGAAAACCCAAATCGGTTTGTGTTTGCGTAGCACTGCCGCATGACTCTGAGCCGTGAGCTTTTGTGAGTCACAGTCTGGTTTGCGTCGTCCACGCAGGCGCTCGGGGCCGCTGACTTTCGGCAGGTGGCGTGGCATGTGCTCATGGGAAATCAGGTCATCTGGCGAGGCGCCGACCCCAGCCTCATCCAGTCTGCTTTCACGGTACTTAAGGTACTTAAGTGTGCGCGCTGACTGCAGTGGAAGTCATTGCTTTGATTATTTCTGTGGAAGCTGACGCTGGGGGCGGAGGGAACTTTCAATGAGGTGGGTCCCGATCACATTTCATCAGATTTTTTTTTTTTTTGCACATGACTCTGAGTCACACCGATCTGTATCCAAATTATTTCAACTACCTTCATAAATTTTTTATTCCAATCAAGGTATTCCAAATTCATAACTTTTAGATGGCTATGAGTCAGCAGAGCGTCAAATCATGTAAACAATACAAATATTTTAATTTTTACTTCAGAAATCAATCGAGCCTTTTTCAGCGAATCAGATCAGAAACAAAGCAAATCCCAGAAGGCGATTGTGTTGTGAGCAAAATTTGTTTGAAATAATAAGCTTTTTATGTAAGCAATAGGGGGGGAAAAAAAGATTAAAATGGAAAATTGGATTTTTGTTGGAAAAAAAAAAATCTGCCATTTTATTTTAACGCTCAATCGGACAGACCGAGTATGCGGCGCCTAATTCATTCTCAAACTTCAACTGCGTCAGAAACATGTTTTATAAAGGGTTCACTTTCAGATCCCAATGTGGAAAAATGTTTTTCCAGTTGCCAAGGAGGTTAGCCAGACCATTTTATGAAAGCTTACGACTAACCCCCGAAGATAATGACTGGCAGATCATAAGACAGCATTTGTTATGAACATAGTTATTAATTCCCGCCTGTGGGTATAAGATTATTATTGAGTTACCCTTCCCCACCCTGATGTGTTCCTTGCCTCGACTTGTGTCCCTGACGTGCTTCTTCCAGAGACAAGCCAGAGCACGCAGCTGTTATCATCTTACAGTGATTTTCCTTTTTTTTAATTTATTTTTTGAAGTGAAGCACGAGAGCGGACATTGGTATTTTAAACATCACGTGTCACACACTCGTAGCCTAAATTACTCGTACGAACACGTGCCGTCGGTCGTTGACAGCTACTCCCTACTAGTGATATAAAATACTCTCGCATATGAGTACACGGCCCATTCGGTGGAGATCAAGAATCTCTAATAAATGTTCTGTCTGTCTGTCTGTCTCTCCCATCAGGCACTGCTGCCGGTAGGCTGTGTGCGTTCAATTCCCTACAGCGCTCACTATGAAGAGGCCTACAAATGCAACTTCCTGGGTCTGAGCCCAGATGTGGCCATTCCAGCCCATGTCATCTCGTCAGGTGAAACACAAGCACGGGGAGGTTCAATTCTCAGTATCCACAAGTCATTTGGAGGCCTAAATGCGAACCGAACCGCTCACCTGCATTTGCCATCTAAATGTGTTTCGTGAAACTGTATTTTATGTCCAGCATTCTACTCTCTTCATTTCATAGTCTTGTCGCAATGACACGTGCAAAGGATTTTTTTTTTTTTCCCACTTGACAGAAAGCAAGCCTTCACCCACATGCACGCTCGTGTGTCCTTCCATGCATGTTCTGCATAAACATAATCATCAGCTAGTCAGGGGCAACTCGACTTTCATCACATAAAAAAAAAAAAAAAAAAAAAAGAAAGAAAAGTTTGTAGTACGTGAATGTTGATTTTGGCGGAATTATCTTCAACCATATTTGTAACGAGAGTGTTTCATTAGCCAATCAAATATCGAATTCGTGCTCACAAGGCCAGTGAGCCGGCCCTTGAAGATGTCGGCTTTTTTCTGTCCTCTGATTGGTTGGTCAGAGCAAAAACTTGTTACAGCCAATTTCGACCAGCAAATCCCGTCTGTCCCCATTCGTACATTTGATAGTCACCATTTCTGGTGAATATGATGTCTTTTCTTTAATGTTTTTTTTTTCTCAACTACTCCAAACGATATACGTGGCATAGTTGGTGGTATTAAAAGGTGGATGAAGTCAGTTTAGTTACAACGAGTTGTCTTCCTCCTGTTTGGTCCCCGTAGAATTTTCAGTGCTGGTGGACGTCAGCTCAGAGACAGGCTGCCCAAGCCCACCGACAGAAGACAATATCTGCTCGCTTTACCAATTCAACATGAGCAGTGCCAACACCCAACCCACAGACAGAGGTGAGCATCCCGTGTTGTGACGATCAGGTGTCACGTGCGCTCACAGCTGCACCCGCCGCGCGGCTATGATATCTTGCACCTAGCTGAGCAGATCGACATGAAATTTTCTTCATCCCCGTGGAAAACTGTCTCGCAAAATGAGCCACCACAAAATGATGACCAAACAAACCCTCGTGAGGAGAACCAAAAAGCACATCTTTGTCCTACTCAACATTCAGAAAAATTTGAGCCCCAGCATTTTTTCAAATTCCAAAGACTGCCATGTGACAATGTGTGTTCCTCATCCAGGCCCGACGTTACTCAACAAACTTGAGGTGGCGCTGTCCAACGAGAACCTGTCGGTGGACGTAGTGTCCCACTGTCTGCTCTGTTTGAAGGAGGAGTGGATGAAGTGAGATACCGCCAGTTGCTTTTGACTCTGGTTCGCCCGTGTCAGCCCTCAACTCATAACGACGTGTTCCCCGCTCCCACTTTCAGCAAGGTCAAAGTGCTCTTCAAATTTTCCAAAGTGGACGGGCGAGGCAGGGAGGACACCCAGAAGGTTCTGGCTCTGCTCGGCACTACGGGGCCCGGCGAGGAGGACAACGTGAGGCTGCTCAAGTTCTGGATGACGGGACTCAGCAAAACATACAAGAGCCATCTGATGAGTGCCGTCCGGGGAGGGGATAGGAGCCCCAGCCAGTGACGAAGACTGAAAGACTCAATGAAGTTATTGTACTGGAGAAAGGAAAGTGAAAGTAAAGAATCCTTTCACGGTTGTCACCATTTGCTTCTCTTTACAAGAATTGAATGGACACCCTGGTTTTTCCCCAAAGTTATGAGAATTTGTGCATATGAGATTAGACTTGTGTATTTTTCTATTGGAATTGTACAAATACGTCCATTTTAATTTATTATGCTTGTTGGTTGCTTTGGTAATAAAATGATTGAACGGACTTGAATGATGTCATTGGATCCATTTTCGACAGCACTTATCCTCATTGAGGTGACGGATAAATAGGAGTCTATCGCAGCAGAGTTTGGGGCGAGAGGCGCGGTACACACATGAATAGCATTGCTCACGTGATGGATTCTTCAGCGCAGGGGTCAGCAACATGTGGTCCCCAAAGGCCACGCGAGTAGCCTGCGGGCTCAGATGGTCAGCCTCCAGAGCCTTGTTGGATGATGTCAGAGCGATCCTTTGAAAATCTAAACACCTGTCGAGATTTATATACACGTAGGTAAGTCTTGATACAACTGTACCCATTGGTCTCTTGTCGCTTTTAATTTCAGTGTAGCATATTGATACAGTATTTATGTTTCCTACTTTATTAAATGATAACACTGTTTATCCTCCTTTTTTTTTTAATCTGGGATGCCAGCAAAATTTTCTAGTTGAGTTTTTTGCAGTGAGTCTGAATCTGCCCTTGTTTTCTACTACGGAATCGTATTGCTGCCACACCAGGAGGAAAAAAAAACACGAAACTTATGTCATTTAAAAACGTGATAAATATGTAAAAACGTAAAAATTCTAATATAAAAACTTCATACTTATTATGTAAAACGTGAAAACTATCATGTTAAAAACGTGACAATTATGATCTAAACACATGACAATTACCACGTAAAAACGTGAAAGATAAAAAAATGTGAACAAGTTGCCTCGCGGAGGGTCGTAGTATGGTTTTCCTAGTGTGGCAGCAATAGGCTTCCGTAGTTTTCCAAACTGGCCGTGATTGATTTTTTTGTTGTTGTTGTTCCACAATTTGTGCCCTCTTGTGGCAAAGAAGAAACCGAGGGAATGAAACGGAGGAGGAATGCTTCTCCCACGCACTTTTTTAAGGCCTTGCGCACACTGCAAATCAAAATTGATTTAAGGAGACGCTTTGTCTGGTTCTACTTGACTCTTAGAGGGAGCACATTGTTTGCATGTTACGAATTCCCAGCTAGATGACCCCTGGCAGCCATATTCTTAATGAACCACATCTTGGACTCCTTTTTTTTTTAATAAAAATAATGCTTTACTACATATGCTGATGTGTGCACATTTTGTCAATAAAAATAAGTCAAAACATACGGCTGTTGAAATTACACTTGAGGGCCGGAGCGGGGGTGGGGTGGGGGGTGTACCTGTGTAAATGGTATGTCACCGGTGAAAGTGAACGCATTCGTGAATGTGTTTCTGTTTAACAAGGTTCAATAAGAAGAGGCTGGGTTGCCATTTGCGCTGGTTCCGCTAATCACTTGCATATTTACTCCACAAATATGCATGCAAGGATCCAACAGTAAAGAAGGGCCAGAATATTTTACACACATGATTTAGATCCAGCGTAGGTGCAGAGGTCACACTGTCACGATTCCTTTGGGGGAATTTTCCACGTTGCTTTATTTCATTGGGAGGCTCTTATTTTTTAAAGGACTATTGTTGAGGGAAAAACTTGTTTGTGATTTGAGGATTTCCTCACATCAGTCATGATGCCTCAGGCGTCATAACTTTAGGGAACCTGAGCGTGTCAACGAGATGTTATCGACAAGTAAGACAACATCTCCCGTGTCGACTACTCAAAACTGCTTCATGGCAAGCTATTTTCAGCATTTCTTTCATATGCTTGATAGCCAGTTTCAGGTACACATGTTCGGATAGTCTTTGTCCTCACTAGAAAAGACAATTTTCTCAGGAGGCAAAACTGTGCACTAGTTGACATCCGCACACTACAAGTACTTACTAGCAAAGTGCAAGACAGCGCTACAATGAAGCATCGCAAATGGAAAGTTCTTTGGGCATGAATTTGATATCCTCGATCTCTCAAAGGTCCATATACGAATACTCTTTTATCCCACTAGGAAGATACTTGACTGATACTAGAAACATTTCATTAAAGTTTGATGACTGTGTGACATTTTTGGACACAAGTGTGGCCATTTTGGCACATCAGTAGGAGAACCTCACGTTTTGACGGACTCAAAATTGCGTACTGCTCCAAATGTGCATGCCAAGGACAAAAAGCTTGTCGTATATGTACTTTAAGAAGAATATCAAGGTTAGCCAATAAATGCTCGAATGGCTTGATGAAAAGTAGTTAGACCAACGGTGTCTTACGAGTCACCTTTATTCCACTGCTGTATGACATTTCTGCACACTCGCTGGACCCATGACTGCCATCAACGACTATATTTGTCAGTTGCATTTCAACGTGCATTGTGTTCTGCATCCTGATTGGCGAAGGGACCAATGTCAACATCCTCCACGCCGCTTCCCTCCACAGCTTGCCAAATTTTCTCCATGACAAAACCCACAATGTCCACGAAACGTTGTGTACAGTATTTCTAGAAACTGTCAGTTGTTTGATAGAAAACGTTTATATATATATATATATATATACATTTTAAAATATAAATATTTTTTTAGAAGCTTGGGTCTGAAAAATGTTTAAGATTTAATTTCATTCAATACAGTATTGTATTTGTCATACTGTAATTGTAAAAAAATAAATAAAGATGACTACTTCACGGATTTCACGTATTACGCGTTCTTTTTGGAACGTAACTCCCGCGATTCACCGAGCCCTTTTAAGAATGCAAAGTCATACTCTAACTGCCACTTCTTGTGGGCTAAAGTGCCATTAAAGTGCGGGGGGGGTGGCGTTGTTGGTAAGACGGAGTAATTCTACGCGTGTTCCCTTGTTGTCCAACTCGTCGTCTTGTTTGTCTAACTAGTGAGGAGTGGATCTCGACTAAACTCCCCAAACGCTTTCAATCGGTGGCGCTTCATTGAAAAGGCTGGATAGCAGTCACATGGTGACTTGCAAGTTTGGGCTGTGTTGCAACACTTTTGCCGTTGGAGAAATATCCCGATTTCCATCCTTGGATCATGTGAGGATGATGAAGCAGGCGGACGTTGCGCACACGCAGGCCCCGCTGGGAGAGAAATGTTCAGAGGTGTCGGAGTTGGGTGGGGGG